ATATATATATATATATATATATATATACACACGAGAGGCACAAGTAATTGGCTGACTGTGGAAATCTCCACATGTATTTTAGACATACTAATTTAATTGTCTTCGTCTGAGAAGCTTAGAATGTATGATCAAAGAAAAAGAAAACATCTGGTTGATGAACTTCTCAGCCCCCCATTCAGGTTTCTAGCAATAGCCTGTACTATTCGATTTAGTTCAACGGCGTTGTTCTTGTTATTTGTCTGAATATTAGAAAACTTCTGCAATTTTGATTAGTGAATCCATGTTTTTCAGAACTCAAGAAACCATTTTTGCCAATAGAAAATCTATATTCCCCAAAATTATATTTCCCTTTGTCTTTCTTACAGGTTTTTACATCTGGATGACAAGGATTATTACTTTATATAATGAACAAAAGCCGTATGGCTTACTGATTACATATGTTATGCAGGATACCCTCAAGCATTACAGTTGAGCCCTGGAGCTCTAGATTGAAAGATAAGATGAAGGGAGAAGGGGAAATAGTGGTCAAGGATCTCTTTCTTCAAAATATGATTGAAACCAATGACCTTCTTCATACTCTTTCTGAAAAAGGATCTATGTGCCTACTGCTTCCACCAAGTATTTTGTGCGAGACATCTCATGTAAAATCAAAAACTGGGTTATCGTCTAATAACTCTGAGGAAATGTCTGAGTCCTCCAACTTGGCCCTCAGACATATGACTGGATTTGATCCAAGAAAAGGAAAGGCTTATCCTCTGATTGAAGGAAAAAGAGTTACTTCTATCAAAGCAAGGTTCCATAAAGGAAACCATGGTTCTTATGCCCCAATTAATAGGAACGAATGTTTAAATGATAGCACCTTGTCATGTGATCTTCAACTGGATCAAGGCCTATTATCATGTGTCACCTGTGGGGTTTTGGGGTTTGCTTGCATGGCTGTGATTCAGCCGTCAGAAGCAGCTGCTAGAAACCTACAGTCTGGTAATTGTAGCTTTTTGAGCGATCAATGTGGTGGTTCTGGATTAACAAGCGATGCTTATCCTACAGCTGAAGGAAATGCCAATGATTCTGATCTAAATTCATGCTCAGGTTTGCTTCTATTTTTCCATTTATTGCTCAAAAGTCATAACTCTTTTGTAGGCTTCCATTCTAATTTATAAATTGTGATTATTTGAGGGGAAAATTTCCTGCAAGCCCTTGTTAACAAATCTGGACATTTGAATGCATTTCTTAGGTTTCCAATATAAACCTTGAGGTCTTGGTTTTGGTGGTTAACGTTGAACTTGGAACCTGCTTTTAACAGTAAACAACGTGGTGCTTCTATTATTATAGTTCCCTTTGTTTAGTGTTCAGTAACTACATGATATAAGGGCAATTATCTGGTGACTACAATTTCAGAGAAGTAATTATGCATTTAATAACTTAACAACCAAGTAATCGAACTTCAGAAAATCACTATATAAATTTCTTCCCTGTAACCCACTGTTTATATTTTCTTCTTAACTACTTCCCTATGTCTGCTTTCTTGTGCATTATTGATGATGTCAATGTATCAAAGACATGTTGTGTTATACTTCTTAATTTTGCATAGAATGTGTAATTCTGCTTAAGGAACGTTTATGTTGGGTGTAGCTTCTATTTGCACTAGACACAGCTATATATATGTGTGCTGTGGCTTCTAGAAGGTGTCAACTTTAAACAATCTAAGTAAGGCACACCTCCAAAGCTCATCAAAAGGTGTAATTTTGGTGTCCAAAATTTGAATGATGACCTGAAAATCTACTTCACATCTAATTATATAATTTAAAACCTAGAGATGGGACAATGGTATGGTTTTGGGATGATAACTGGGTTGGTTGTACACCTTTTAGGGATCAGTTTCCTACCCTTCATCGGATAGCAAGTGACGAGCATTCAACTGTGGCAGAAAATTTTGGTCTTTCGAGTTCTCTTCGATCGTGGTCACCAAATTTCAGGAGACCCCTCAATGACAATGAACTAGATGACTTCGGGACCCTGGCAGTAGTCCTCCACTCTGTATTCCTTCCTAATTCTGGGGTAGACAAGATCATTTAGGAACCTACCCTTCAGGAATTTTTTCGGTATCCTCTTTCTATACCACCCTCACGTCAAACCCCATTGTTGCTGGCCCTAATCCCTCTCTTTTATCGAAAGCCTGGAACCACTTCTTTCCCCCAAGACTCCAAGTCTTATGTTGGATAGTGATCCATGAGAGGACCACTGACGGTATATTTGTTACAAAGGAGAGGATTGCAATGCCCCAGTAGATCTGCCCGCATGGAAGAGGAAACTATGCTCATCTGTTCCTCCATTGTGGGTTTGCAAGAATCTTATGGACCTCTGTTTTGGGCTTCTTTCAATGGTCCTGGGTCACCCCAAGCTCTGTCCCTCATTTGTTCCAAGCATACCTCTATTCGCCTTGGCCTAAGGCAGGTAGAGAACTTTGGAAAGCCGTGTCTGCCACTTTGTGGGTTCTATGGATTGAAAGAAACCACAGGATTTTAGAGAAGAACTTCGATCACCGCTTTGGCCGACAAAGTGATGACCTTAGTGGCTTTCTGGGCCTCCAACCACAAGTTGTTCAAAGACTTCCCATCCACTGATTTTCATAGAAATTGGACAAACCTTAACATGGTAAGTCCCAAATTTTCACGGGCAGCTGTGTGGAGACCGCCTGAGCTAGGTTTCATGAAGCTAAATTTTGATGGTTGCTCCCTTGGTAAGGCGGGCCCTTCTAGCGTGGGTGGTTTGTTTCGATCCAATGGGGTTCACATTTTGTTAGCTTTTTCCTGCCCCATCGGCTTAGCAGATTCTACTATGGCCGAAGCCCGTGCCTTGTTGAAAGGACTGGAAAAAATTGATGCAACTTGGGGTTCCTTTTTGGTGGTTGAAGGAGATTCCAAGAATGTTATTTCATGGGCTTCCGGCCTATTCCAAGAATGTTATTTCGTGGGCTTCCGGCCTTTCTCCTTGCCCGTGGCGCTTAGATGATATTTTTGATGAGATCTCACATCTGTTGCGGGGTATCTCAATATCATGGCACCATGTATTCTGGGAAGCCCACTCGGATGCAGACCTTCTTACCAGGGAGGGAGCCCATTCTAACACCCTGGAGGTGCCCTAGACTTTGTTGAACCTGTGCCATAAGTTCTTTTGGTTTCTTTTTGGAACCCTTCGGGGATGTATTGGGTACGCCTTTGGGGGGGCTCTCTTGACTGTATACTTTGATACCATTAATACAACCACAATTAACTCTTTTCAAAAAAAAAAAATGTGGATATGGCACAAAGGATATGTGTTGATCTTGAAATTGTTGATGTTTTAACATATTTTAATTAATATTTCCCCTAAGTGACTCAGCAGTATTTCATTTGTTTTTAAACTCAAAAGGCTTCTACACTAACGGGTTTTGGTCGGACTAATATTTTATCGGAAATCAACTTATCTGTGAACATTCTACTTCAGATTTTTGTTTCTAAATGGAAATAATCATGCGTTTAGTGGCATCATTAGTTGCTTCCATCCAAAAAGAGGCAACATCTTGAGTAAATGATTGACCAGATTGACTATTTCTTGTCTGAAGCAAAGCACTGAGTACAAATTTTCTGTTTTGAAGTTATATAATATAGCATGGAATCTATCCTTTGTGTACTTTTTTTTCCTTGTCTTCCCTATTATCGTTCTATCTTTAATTGATCTTACTTTTTTCCTCGCTTTTCTTGCCTTCTTTATTCTCCCTCTTTTCTGCCTCTAAGCTATATACATCAGTGTTCATTTGTACCTCATTTGGCAGTGCAACTTGATATATACTACAGTTCTATGGATGATTTTAAGGATAAAAGAGTTATAGATCCTGGAATTCCTGTTACTTAATGGCATTATCCTTGGAGTTCTTTAAGCCTTTTATTTTGTTGCAGGATATACAAAAACAGATGAGAGAGATGATCAGGATGACTCTCAAATATACTCTACCTCTCATCAAGACTGTAATCCACCTCTCATCAAGGATGAGAAAGATGGTCAGAATGCATATCCGAGGACCCTAGAAAAATCTGATCCTTCAACAGCCGATCATAACATCTCTTCACTTGCCCTTTTGGCCAGTGCTTACGGAAATGCATCAGATTCTGAGGAAGACGAAGCTATTCAACACGATATTACTATGCATACGAATGAAGTTAGTCCTATAGACACATCAATAGCATGCATTGGGACTCAACAATCAATGCCTGTGTGTGCTTATCTCCCTCCAATTCTCAGGTCTAAGGATGAACTTCAATGTGGCGACTCTGTATTACTATGCTCCAGTTCACCGCATCAAAATGAGGCTGCCAATATAATCAATCACCCTATAACAAATTCATTATCTGGAAATGAAGTTGCAGCACAAACTTCTAGTTCCTTTCACATTACTAACAAGTTCTCTGAGAACTCGAGTGCTAAAAATAATAACAATATTCCACTTAGTAGAACTCCTAATGTCTATCAGAGACGCACTGAACTCGTACATCCAGACTGTATGCCTTCAAATTGTAATGTTCCTTTTGAACAATTGGGTTGTGTTTCAAATGGCGGCCCTACTGAAAATGTTAATGAAACAGCAATTGTAAATTGCATAGACACCGTTAGAAACAATAGAAACAATTCTGAATGGCAGGATATTGACAAAGATTCTTCAAGAATGCATATATTTTGTCTAGAGCATGCCATGGAGGCTGAAAAGCAGCTTCAACTTATGGGTGGTGCCAACATTTTGCTTTTGTGTCATTCAGGTGAGTTCTTTGATGCCTTCATCTAGAAAAAATGCATTGTGATGTTTTTTAAATCTTGCATGATGGCTTTTGCAAGGTGCACTTGTGCGTTATTTATTTTTCTCCCTTGGATTGCAATAATTATGTATGCTTTTGGTGATAGTTATTTAAACATATATCATCATGCCCATTCTGAGTCTTGGTTTACTCAATACATTGGTTTGCTTTGTCTAGACTGGATTCCAAATAAGGTATTAACCGTTAAAACTGTATATATTGTAATGGGATTGTAGATTATGAGACAATTTATTTTTGGTACAAGGAGGTCACGATCACTTTTAGCCATTGGATTGAAATCCAATAGATGAAAGTGTATCACAACATTCGAGAAATTCAACAATTGGAGGAGCAAAATGACATTGTAGTATGGTCCGTAACGACAAGTGGAAAAGAGAGAGAAAAACTTATCATGAAAATGCAGTATGATATTGATACTTGTGTCTGTTTTGGATCCTTCATTTAACTTTACCCACAGGTGTGATCTGATGATAGATGATATTCTTCTTAGATACTTACGCTTTGAATTATATAATAACCATAGGTTACGTGTGAAAGAAATCTACATGGTTTAGGTTGCAAGTTACATTCTTTACTAAACCTTTAATGGACGCAATCATTATTCCACACACTTATACGCACTCTCGCAACACATTTTCCTTGGATAAAGTTCTGGGCTTTATGAAGCTTGTTACTACAAGAACATGTAAATCGACCTAGGTACATTCTTGGTTTGTGCTTTGTTTGGTTTGCAGTATGTTTGGCCGATTATTCTGTTGCCTAAAGCTTCCATATTGTGAGTTGATAGAGACATATAGCTGGGACTAGTGCTTATAGTGAATCCTAGGAAAGTAGTCTTTGTATTCTTGTCACTTGGGAATCTAAAAGATCTGAACATCAGTGCTGTCCATAGTTAATAATTTCTACTCAGATGTACACAATCTCATCTACCCTAATGAATATAACTTAATTGCCGAAATCTGTAAGCATTTACAGAGTCCAACCGGTCGGAGACCTTGTAAGTAATAAGTTTTTGTTTGTTGGTGGAAACAAGGGCTGTTTAGCAGTTGCAACATGACCAACTATACTGATCCAAAGCTTTGCCATACCAAGAAATGCTACAATGTGACATTGATGACAGGGCTTTGGGCAAAACCATGGCCTACAACAGAGTTATAGGTCTGAGCAATGCTACTTTACTCATTAAAGACGTTTTATTTTTTTGTATTTATAATGAAAAAGGAAAGACATTTTGCTTTTGGTTGTCAAAAAATCATAGATTGGAACTAGACAAAATCACAGACAACAATCATGTGGGTTGGCACCCAAAGGCCATAATTCAAAATTATCTTTCGTAGGACACTAATATTTGTTAGCCTGATGGCCATTTTATTGACCTTCATTGGGTAAATTTATGAGATTAGTTTAAAAAAAAGAAAGAAAGAAACTTGGATTATTTTCTCAACTCGGCACGTTAGCCTCACTTTTCTTCATGCGTGATACGGGCCATGTTTGTCCCAATTATTTGAGTGAGTTACTTATGATGTTTTTGCCTATTCATGAAGAATAATGATCCTATAGGACCCTCTGCCACTTATGTGTGTAAGACCCCAAAAGATCACTATTAAAGTTGGCATGGATCTCTAGAAAAGTTATCACATGGGTGTGAGATTTGACTTTTTTAAAGATCCGTATTAACTTTAATGGTGATCCTTTGGGGTCCTACACACATAGGTAGAGGAAGATCATATAAGATCATTTCTCATTCATGAATTATTAGATGTTTAAATGCTAATTTTTTTTAAATAAAATTCCTACAATGTGAAGCGAACGAATGTGCTAGTGGTTTTATAACATTGCTTTAATGTATGGTAAAAACAATTAAAACTCGTATACTATCATCTCTCTGTCTATTATCTAGACTTTGTACGAGATTTGTGAAACTTAAAAGGGTAGATATTTGTTTATGTGAAAAAAGGGATGCATAATTATTATATTACCTTAAGACACTCCACATTTCTGATGTATCAAGTTTTCAAATGATAGGTGCTGTTTCTTATTTGATGAGGACATAGTCTCATTTTTTTCCTCTTTAGTTCTTTTAAATGTGGCTAGGCTCATTTTTTTTCCCATTAGTTCTTTTAAATGTGGCTATTTTATTTCTTTCGTTTTAACTTTATTATTTTTTGTGAGAACCCGATAATGAGATAATGTTAATGAGGGTATGATCTCTTCCTCTGTAATTTGTAGACTATCCCAAAATAGAAGAGAAAGCTAAATCCATAGCAGAAGAAATGGGAGTCATCCATTCTTGGAATGGAATTGTGTTCAAGGAGGCGAGCCTCGAGGATCTAGAACGGCTTCGAGTTGTTCTCGAGGAAGAAGACGATGAAACAAGTCATGGAAATGGAGATTGGGCTGTAAAGTTGGGGGTCAACCTCTATCACACATCAAACCTGAGCAGGTCTCCTCTCTATAGCAAGCAAATGCCATACAATTCTGTCTTGTATGAAGTCCTTGGATGTAATTCCCCGGATGACTCCTCACCCCCTGGTCCAAGGCCCAGAGGCAGGTATGCAAGGCAGAAGAAGATAGTTGTGGCTGGAAAATGGTGTGGAAAAGTGTGGATGGTGAACCAGGTGCACCCATATCTCAGCAATGGTAAACATCTTAAAGAACAGCATGTTGTGTTAACGACTAAAGAGCTCGAGAACGACAGCAAGCCTGGAGAGAGAAACCTCGATCCTAATCAAGCTCAGAAGTCTAGAGAGGACGTTTCGGAACCTGATGAGGCTGGGACATCTCGAGACAGTGATCCCGAAGCTGTAAAAGCCAGTGGGTCTCTAGAGAGAGTATCAAGCCTGGATGCTTCCTTGAAGAGGAAGAGATTCACAAAGAGGAGAATGTCATTGAGACGGGTTTGCAGCAAGAGGCCTAAGTTCTGTGAATGGGGAGCTGCCGGGATGGAAGGCATCGACCCGGCTTCTGAGGAGCATGATGAAATTGGCAAAGAGCCTAGGGAGGGAGAGACACCTAGGAGTGCCATGAAGAAATGGAACCAACTTGGTATTTTTGCTTGTACTATTTCTCATTATGGATATTGCAATCATTCTTTTATTCATCATCTTACAATGTATTTACCATCGGGTTCGAGCCGGAGCTCAATTGGAAAAGCATTCATTGTTGCTACCTTGAGGTTGTGGGTTCGAACCCAGCTTACCGATAAATAAAAAAGAAAATTAAGGATATTTGCTACATAACGACAAATGTATATTCATATAGGAAGAGAGAAACGTTATCTTGGGTCATTTTGTTCTTTGATTTCTTGTATTCACAGGGAATGCACACTTATTTTTTGCGTTGACGAGAATACTGTTGTTTCTCTCTCTAAACTTTCAGACGTAAGCCCAAAGGGGGAAGCAGATGAAGGTGGCCCAAGCACCAGGCTGAGGCAGCGGCCCCGGAAGCCCCAGCCAACAAGCAATGACGAAACTGAAGTCCCATACAAGCGATGTGTGCGAAAGAAGAGGGAGAAGAAGATACCAGAGAGTGGGAACAAAGAGGCGAGAGAAATAAAGGCCCCAGGAGATGAGGATGCATACCAATGCGACATAGATGGGTGCTCAATGGGGTTTGGGACGAAGCAAGAACTCGTAATACACAAGCGGAACCAATGCGCTGTGAAAGGGTGTGGAAAGAAGTTCTTCTCTCACAAGTATCTACTACAACACCGGCGCGTTCACTTGGATGATAGGCCGCTCAAGTGCCCATGGAAAGGGTGCAAGATGACTTTCAAATGGGCATGGGCTCGCACGGAACACATACGAGTGCACACAGGGGACCGGCCCTACGTGTGTAAAGATAATGGGTGTGGTCGAACCTTCCGATTCGTGTCTGATTTCAGTCGCCACAAACGCAAAACTGGACATTTTGGCAAATGACAATGGTGAGTTTCCTTTAATTTTCTTGGGTATTAATGGTTTTTCCTTGTGGGTTTTGGGGGTGATGGGCCGTAAGGGGTAGTGCAAATGGATTTTCAGTTTTAAAGATGGATGGGGAGAGGGGGGGGATTCATAAACTGTCATTTTTATGTATTTGAACAATTGAGACCTTCGATTCGATTACTTGACAAAGTGATTTAAGCCATCTCTCTCTCAGCGCATGTGCGTGTGTGCGCGCATGCATGCGAGTAATGCTCGAAGTTCGGTGATCCCCTCGTGCTTGACAGGTAGTTTCTAAGTGCACTCTGGGTTTCCCCCAATTTTGGATAAATGGAATCTGTGATGAAATTTGAAATTATTGATTATTTGATTTTCATCGACTCGAAAGAGGCACGACTCTAAGCATGCATGGGCTACTAATCCTTGTTTGGGTAGGTACTGCTTAAGATTAGCCGTGCTTTTACAATGCCGCTAAAATTTCTTTTGATATATATTATGAATAAAGTTTTATGGAAAACCGAAGAATCGTGTATCTATCAAACCACAAGTCGAGAGCAGGCACACCGAACGTGTACGTCTATTCGCTACTGGCCAAAATAAGCAGCATAAAAAAGATAGTAAAAATTTAAAGAAAAAGAATAAAATGATACGAGTAGCATGTGTCAGCTAAGAGAGTGATGAACAATTCTCCGCTATGAGGGGAGGAATGGTTCAATGCCACTGCCGTCGACAGTGGGCGCTTGATGATGCATGTAGCATGTTGTTCGTATTATACATGTACCATGGTATACATGCCCTTTTCAAAATAATAAAAAGGAAGGCAAATCTAGAGCTCGAAGGGAACAAAGAGAGCAAGAAGCACAAAGATATAACAAAAATGAGAATGTGTAGAGAGAGAGAGAGAGAATACACAACAGGCAAAAAGGAGAAGAAATCATAAGATAAAACAAGTTTACAGGCAATAATGCATTCTATTAACACATTAAACTGATAATAATGCACCGGTTAGAGAGAGAGAGAGAGAGAGAGAGAGAGAGAGAGAGAGAGAGGAGTAGTAGTAGTAAGTAACGACTACACTACAACGTAAGTAAGAAAGTAACGTAACGTAACCGTACTACTACCTACCTACCACCTACCTAACCTAACC